AGCGCTCAACTTCGCCTTCAAGGACAAGTACAAGCAGATCTTCCTGGGCGGCGTGGACCGCCACAAGCAGTTCTGGCGCTACTTCGCCGGCAACCTGGCGTCGGGCGGGGCGGCCGGGGCCACCTCCCTCTGCTTCGTCTACCCGCTGGACTTCGCCAGGACCCGGCTGGCCGCCGACGTGGGCAAGGGCAGCGCCCAGCGGGAGTTCAGCGGCCTGGGCGACTGTCTCACCAAGATCTTCAAGTCCGATGGCCTCGGGGGCCTCTACCAGGGCTTCAGCGTCTCTGTCCAGGGCATCATCATCTACAGAGCCGCCTACTTCGGAGTCTATGATACCGCCAAGGGTGAGAGGAGGGTTGGGGGGGGGCGGGGGTGTGGCCTGGGCTGGGTGAGGGGTGCAGCCTGGGGAGGAGGGGGAGGACCTGCAGACAGGACCCTGAGGGATCTGTCGCTCACAAAGGGCTTTCTGTGTATTAATCCTGTGGGGTTTTTTTTTCCTGGTTTCTGGGCTGATATGAGGCTTTGGAAGGAGGCGGTGGTGGAGGGAGGTCATAGAGCTAGAGGATTCTCCTTGACCTTGACTGGGGCTATTGAGAGGAAGGGCAGGCCCGCCCCCTCTTCCCATGGCCCTGCGGGTTACTGAGTGTAACCTGGACCGCTTCAGCCTGGCCTGTACGCCGCTGGCCTAGGTCCAGCCAGAGTAGCCAGTTCTGCTGGAAGGGGGGGGGGGGGGGAAGGGGGTGCTGGGGCTGGAGGTTCCCTGCCTCTTCCCACCCCCACCTGCTTTCTGCGGGGCTGCTGAGAGGGATCCTTCATCGCCCTTTGGCTTCTGGCTCTGCCCGCAGGGATGCTGCCGGATCCCAAGAATGTGCACATCTTTGTCAGCTGGATGATCGCCCAGTCGGTGACAGCGGTGGCGGGGCTGGTGTCCTACCCCTTTGACACGGTCCGCCGTAGGATGATGATGCAGTCTGGCCGGAAGGGGGGTAAGCCTGCCCCCTACTGATCTAACGCCGAGTTTCCCTGCCCTGGAGAACACTGCTTGGTACTGTTTTCAGTCTTCACCATTCCAGTTGTTAAGGAAAGCAAGCTTCTCAACTATTTCTCTAGAGAACTTTGTTATCATATAGATAAGGACACAACAAATGGGTATTTAGAGGTGGATTTAACTAGGTATCTAGCATGATAGAGGCTTTTTCTTAGAGCAGTGATTTTCAACCCGAGAGACACAGTAATTTTTTTAAATACATTTTTTTATTGTTGGTACTATTATAAATATTTCCCATCCCCCCCTCCCCCTTACTCCCCTTCTTCCAGTCCCTACCCGCCCTGCCAGGTCTTCACCACCCTATTGCCCGTGTCCATGGGCAGTGCATATAAGTACACAAGTTCCTTGGTTTATCTCATTGTTTGTGTTGTATGATGAGATCAACCCCACATTGAGGTATGTCGGTCTGTTCCATGCCTCCGTGCTTCCCATCTTATTTTGTTGGTCAGTTTGTTTATCCACAAGAATTTTTAAAACATGCAAAAGCTGATTATTTAGTCATGGACACTAACTTCTTTTCCCTTAGGTAGTCAAATAAAAAAAAATAAAAAAAATGACAACAGCCAACACAGTAGCTATCCGGGGGGTGAATGAATCCATTTTGACAGATTGGCAAAATACGTATTTTTGGCATGACAAAAATATTAGTAATTTATGTGTGCTGTGAGATGAAAAGGTGGGAAATTGCAGCCGTAGAGCCTGGGTGCAGAAACAAGGGGGAGGATTGAAGTAATCAGCTGGTTTATGAAACAATTATTCTCCTCTAACCTCCTTCTGACAGGCAGGGAGAGGGGGCCTTCGGTGGACGAGGGACAGCCTCCAGCAGCCTGCTACGATAAAGTCTTAGCTCCCAGAAGTTGAAATGAATGAAATTGCCATTTTTAACATAAAAAAAAAAGTCATTGTAGTTTCATTTGGTTCAACCTACTAGTTGTGGCTCTTTTAACTGTGTTATCTTGGACTAGTATATCCCGAGACTAGGCCTTATTTTTCTCATCCATACACAGGGCACTACCCAGGTTAGCACTTCTGTCCCACCCTGCGTCCGTTTGAGTGTGATGGGCTGTGAGTTAGCTGGTTAATTGCCACAGTTCTCGAACTAAAGGAGCAGGAATGACAAGAGAGCCCAGCAGTTATACAGGAAAGGGATGTCTAGTTGAACACAGTGTAGGGCTGGGAGTTGGAGCTCAAGCGACTTCTTAGTGACACTGTGTGCAGAGGTCTCCAGAAACACGGAGCCCTGACCCGCACTTGTTTCCACAGCTGACATCATGTACACGGGGACGCTGGACTGCTGGAGGAAGATTGCCAAAGATGAGGGAGCCAAGGCTTTCTTCAAAGGCGCCTGGTCCAACGTACTGAGAGGCATGGGCGGTGCCTTCGTGTTGGTGTTGTACGATGAGATCAAGAAAATTGTCTAATGTCATTAAAGCCAACTCACTGCTTCCAGACCTGTTTGTGTGGTTTCATACACTCTTCCTAGGGGAAGGAAAAGGAGAGATCTGGGATAAAACCAGACTGGAAGGAATACCTCAGGAAAGATAATGGCTTCACCGAGTGTTCATTCAACCACAAATGTATTTTGTATTTATTTTACATGGAAATTCCCTCATAAAATATAAAATATCATACTTGTATAATTAACTGAGGAGCTGATAATAACTGAATGTGAAACCAATAAAGACCACTTAATGCACCTTCGCTATTGAATTCTTCTTAACTGCCAAATGGATTAAAAAATAAGATGAGCCCTAACCGGTGTGGCTCAGTGGATAGAGCCTCGGCCTGCGGACTGAAGGGTCCCAGGTTCGATTCCGGTCAAGGTTATGTACCTTGGTTGCGACCACATCCCCAGCAGGGAGTGTGCAGAAGGCAGCTGATCGATGTTTCTATCTCATCGATGTTTCTAACTATCCCTCTCCCTTCCTCTCTGTAAAAAATCAGTATTTAAAAAAAAATACTATAAAAAATGACTGAAAGTGCCTATTTGCTAGCTAGTAGCGATTTGCTACTCACTAATAAATTAGTGTCCAGTTTTTAAATGCCAAATACTATACTATTTACATGTGCACACCTACAATGCTTAGAGTTCTGGTTTCCAAATAGGAACAGGTGATGCACTCTGACCTCACACCACTGTGACACCAGTCAGGGCTTCCATAATCTGACCTGATTTTATGCACATTCACTCTGGCCGGGAATTCTGAGGTTCCACCAAGAGCTTCAGGACACTGTTCATTGCACAGCATTTAGCATGCCAGTGTTGAATGATTAGGTTCTGCGGGCAATACAGGAAGACCAGAACCCATCCTGGAAGAAGCCAAAACGGGGCGGGAGCGAGGAAATGGTGTTATGTAATGTCATGTTTAATAGGGTGAATCTTGGTTGAGTGGAAGGGGAGGAGGAGTAGGTGCACCTTGAAGAAAGTGACTTGATTTAGATACATGGCTCCGGCTCCGAAAGCACCTGCCTGTCATCAGATGCATGTGCACAGAACATTCCTGCTTGCACTTCTCCGTAACAATGTAGCAAGACCTAGCAGAAAAAGTCAGCTTTGGATTTGACTCATAAATTTGTGAGGAAGAGGAAAAGAACTACTGTTTCACATGGGAGATGAGGCACTGTGGTCCAGAGTTCATCCAGCTCCAGCTTGTGGAGTGGCTGGGAGGAAACAAGCTCCTTAATTCTAGGCAAAGCCTCAGAGGTGGACACACGCCTTTTATTTCCCCCGATAGATGCTTTGAGGGGTATGGTGCCTCTGTACTTTCTTTTCCTTATCTTTCTTCCCAAGCGCTTATTACCCTTATTCAGTCCTGATCCCCAATAAGGAATTGGCTTCCTTGTTCTCTGCTTTACCACATCCAAGGTCACATCTATCCTAATCTGGTAGGTATCTCTTAGAGGAAATGGGGATGCTTCATTTGATGGCTGCCCAAATCCAGGTTCAAGATTAATACACTTATTTACTATGAAGATCTGAGAATTACCTTTTTAAAATGTATTTATGGTTTATAAAAGATTTCCATATTGTAGACCAGGTGTTGCAAACCATGCACCCTCTCACAACTAGAAAAGGGTCTCAACTATTTATACTAATAAAAGCGTAATATGCTAATTAGACCATGTGGACTGGCCATCTTCCAGTCGTCCGACTTCCTTCCGGACAAAGCCATGGTGGTGGGGACTGAGGCAGAGAGGGCAGTTGGGGGCGAGATCAGGCCAACAGGGGCAGGCAGTTAGGGGTGATCAAGCAGGCAAGCAGGTGAGTGGGTAGGAGCCAGCAGTCCAATGGATGTCCTAAACCGGCAGTCGGACATCCCTCAAGGGATCCCTGACTGGAGAGGGTGCAGACTGAGCTGAATTTTGTGCACCGGACCACTGGTTTAAAATAAAAATCTGCATAAAGGCACCGAGGAGCTAACAAGGCATGGAAAAGTATGGGGCCAACATTTTGGAAGGAGACAATGCAAAAGTAAGTCTGACATGTTTCCTCATCGGATACTTTTCCCCACTTGGAACCTGCAAATCATCAAAAATTCAGCTGACATGTTGAGGGGCTGGAGAGTTTGGAAGCCTCCTAGGGAGAGAGAGACAAGAACAAATCCTTGCCAAGGAAGGGAGCCCTGATAAACTTGTTTTGGATTAGTTGCCCAAAGGGTGATACCCTAGCAGTAAGAGTAAACTGGGACTAGTTTGGCCTTGAAGTCAATCTATAAGTGTGTCCAATATAGCACTGTAACAATTTTACAAAATAAATTTGATAATGTGGTTTAAAGAAATTATTGATCAAGAACAGAATTTTAAGTCAACTCTGAAAAGTTTATAATGAATACCTTTCTCCCAACTTCATTCTCACTAATTCTTAGTTTTGTGTGGCACCTAAAAATTATTATTCTAATTTTTCAAATAGGAACAAGACCATGCAATTGAGAGAAAGATGCAGGATCAAAACTCAGTTATCTTTACTTCTTTTATTTCTTTCTTCACTATGCCAAGCTAGTTCTTCATGACCAAAATACATTACAATGGATGGAAAAATTTTAAAAGGATATTGATTTTTCAACTTCTTACTGACCTTTATGCATGAAAACAAAGTCATTATCATTAAGCACATTTTCTAGGATGGTATACAATCATTTATAGGTAAAGACTTTGGCATTTAAGATATTAAACATTTTATGAATTGAATTATCAAAATATAATTAAACTTGTATATTCAGCATTATATTGGTCATAATACTTTTCACAGTGTGCAGTACTTGAGTCTGAAGATGGGACACACGCTCTCATATCCCTCACAATGACCTCTTTTTAAAGTTGTCTACATAACCATTTTGGACATTTGGGTTAATGGTTGAAAACAACTGCATTACACTAGGTTTATAAGCAAACCAGAACATTTTATTTGTAGTAGTAGCTAAGAAAGTGGCTTTTAATGGACAGTGAAAAAAGGAAGTAGGGAAAGCCCAAGATAATAACTATTCCTTAGGAAATAATTTTAATAGTTCAAAATCTTTCACAGAATCTTATGAAAAAGAGGCAATATTAGTTTAGCATTTGACAGATAAGAAAATTACAGTCAATAAGAACCTTGCCTAATAATTTAGACCTAGGGTTAGTATAATTTTGCAGAAGTAAATCTTCAAAGATAAACAGCAAGGTACAAGTGAACCATATACAAAGTAGTGCTAGATGATTCTTCACTTCTTGAAAATGAATAGTTATTACGGGCCCTTCATAAAAAATGCCTCTTAAACCAAAACTTCAAAGTACCTTGAAGAATATCACATTTCTCAATTCCTAGCCTTCTATTTACACTTATCATATATAAGTAATCATGACAACAGAATTATAAGTTGTTAAAAAAAACGAATATTGTTGTTCTTCCTGACTTTTACTCCACGCTGAATCCCTGATATCAGTTATATTTAGATGCACCTCCCTGTCAAAGCAGTACAAATAAAGGCATTAACTTAGCTAAATTTTATATGTGAAATAGTACCAAGTGACGTAAAAACCTGTTAACCAGACAGAGAATCAAATAACAGTGAAGGAACAAGGTAGCCCAAAGAAAGAAGCAGAACAATCTGACAGTCAGGCTGTGTTCACATGAATTATTTTAGCCCTACTGTTCCCACGTTTCACATGCCCAACCTTAAACAAAATCAATGAACATAAACTAAGACCAAGAAATTCTGAATTGATGTTCAGTAAAATGCAGTTTGGCTTTCTGCATACATGCTACAGAGCCTGAGTTAACCCAGAAAAATACAAATATTCTTATTGTGGTTACAGATCACAAATGCGTATTAGAAAAAGAAAGGTTTGGCATTTAATATGGAAATTTTCCAACATTCCAAGGACAAACTAAAGAGGCCAGTAATGAAAGACAATGATAACTAGAACAGCAGGCACAACCATGACTGAGATATACTTTAAGAGCTTACAGATTGAAAAAAAAAAAATAAACACAAATTTAAAAAAGAGCCTACAGATTGAAACAAAAGTAAATTAGCAGATATATAGTCTCATTAAATAAATATGTGATTCTTCCCCCAACCCCTCTTTATCATTTATATTTTAGTTCTTTTTTTCAAACCTTAAAATCACTACCTGGAATTTCGAAAGCTGTGAAACAATGCATTTCTTTCTTTTCTTGTCTCTTCTCTTAATATAATAAATACTAAATGTAACACAGCTTGTTAACAGTATCATTTGAAACACTGTTCTGATACAACTGAGATCTACTTCTTGAGATTGGTGCTATTTTGCTGATTCAAAAAATACTTGCTTTTGCTTATGATGATCTGGTCTTTGGACAAACTATTCACAATGTAAGTAGACTGTATCTTGAAAGCCCACCTTATTTTTCAGTATCATTAATAAATAGTACTTTACCCGAATGTACAAAAACATTGAAGGGGAGCTTCTAAGTGGAACTTCCTAACACTCACAGTTTGAAATGGTTGGAATGGTTGTTGAAATGTTAAGATATAGCTCAGCAGTTACAGAGGCAGGAGATACCTCTGGCGAATTGTAGGGACTGCCCCAGTAAATTAGGTCCACCAATGAAAACAAATTGCAAGATTTGTTTCATTAATAAGAAAGTGTTACAATTAAGTTATGAGTCAGACCACCTTAATTCTAAAGCAAACAGAAAATAAAGCCAGTCAAGTTTAGGAGTAATGTTCATGGTTTCAAGCTTATACGAAGTGAAAATAAAAATAAAATGAGATGTATATAGTTAACATCTCAGTGCCAACGTGCAGTAATACAACTGTTTGATCAGCATGAGCGCTGAATTGGTCTCTCTGCTGAGACAATATACATGCATTTATTTAATTCATATACATCTCATATAAATACACCCTCATAGGAAACACTGACTTTACATTAAATTACCTTTGTTGATAACAATTTTGCATTGAGTACAATAAATTACAACTTGCTTTTGTACAACTTAAAATTCTTAAAACAATTAGAGATGTTTACAAAAAGAATTACAGTAATGTACAAGAGCACTTCAATAAAAATTGGATAAACAATGTTTAAAGTAAAAAATTTTATAACCAAGCTGTACGAACATTAGGGGGCTTAGGTCTTAGCAACAGGCCACTGGATTTGTCAAAAACTGCTCCCTCACTCTTACAACTGAGAGCACTCGTAGCACTAGATGTCCTGGAAGCGCCTCCTGAAAATACACAAAAAACAAGAAATGATCTGAATTTTTTTTTTAAAATATATTTTATTGTTTTTGTACAGAGAGGAAGGGAGAGAGATAGAGAGCTAGAAACATCGATGAGAGAGAGTCATCGATCAGCTGCCTCTTGCACAACCCCTACTAGGGATATGCCCGCAACCAAGGTACATGCCCTTGACGGGAATCAAACCGGGGTCCCTTCAGTCCCCAAGCCGACACTCTATCCATTGAGCCAAACCGGTTTCGGCAAGAAATGATCTGAATTAAATAAAATACATAAATCATTATCTGATAAGCTTCCTTTCCTAATTTTAAGTTCAGACTAAATTCTCTCTCTCTCTCTCTCTCTCTCTCTCTCTCTCTCTCTCTCTCTCGATCCTGAGGATATGATTATTAATTTGAGAGGGAGAAGGAGGAGAGAGAGAATCATCGATCATTTGCCTCCTATATCAACCCTGACTGGGGGGGATTGAGCCTACAACCTTTTGGTATATGGAACTAAGCCACACAGCCAGAACAGACTGTTTTTATTTTTTATTTTTTTATTTTATTTTTTATTTTTTTTTTACAGAGAAGAAGGGAGAGAGAGAGCCAGAAACATATATATATTAGAGGAAGAAATGAATATATATATTGACGTTAAAAGTCTCTCTTCCATATCTAAGAAAACTACTGATATTTTCAACTTTTTTCTTCTTCCTGGTTTCCTTCCTATACTGCCATTATCTGCTAGAAATGAAACCTGAAATTAAGTGAACTAAAACAAAGCATGCCAGTGAAAAACCATAAAATGTATTTCAGAAGAAGACATTTATCATGTCCTGGCCAGGTAGCTCAGGTGGTTAGAGCATCGTCCTGATATGCGAAGGTTGCAGGTTTGATGCCCACTCAGGGCACATACAAGCATTAACCAATGAATGCATAAATAAGGGAAACAACAAATCTTTGTTTCTCTCTCTTTCCCTCCATCATAAGAAAAAAAGATACAAATAAGTACAAAATAATTGTGAATATGCTTACTTAATGAGCTATACTGGCTGAGAGTCGATTTCGCTCGTCTTAAGGATGGTGATGAGTTGAGATAACCCATGTTGCGATGATAGTCCATTAGCTGATCTGAGCGTTTCATGCCAACTGTTGGTTTCACGGCTTCAAGTCTCTTCAAGAAAGCCTTCGTTTAAAGACAATCAATGTGAAAGCCAGTGTTAGATAAATAGTAATATTTTTCCAAGGGAAAACTATTTTTAAAACCTGAAATGGATGAAATTAAATAGAAAAGACTAAATCACTTAACATATTTCAAATAATATACTTTCAGGAGAACCTTAGGGCTTTGACCTATCCTATAGCCAACCAAAGCTACTGTGATTTTAACAACTGATCACAGGCACATGTCTCTTTTAGATCAGGTTACAATCTTAGAAAAGGTGCTCTAAGGTGAAATACGTTAAAGCTGAGTTTCTCATGGAAATGACATAATGGGAATAATAATGCTAAGAGCCCATGAATGACCATAAGCTTATTAAAGCTATACAAGTCCTTTATCTGCTTATCCAGCAGTGGCTTTATACTGGTTTTAACTTTCCAGGAGTGACTCCAGGCTGACTAGGACATTGAAGGAAGGCTAAGGGGGCAGGGCTCTCCCACTCCTGATTTCTTCCAACCCAACTATGCTTTTTGAATTATCTGTTTTATGTACTAAAGTTCTGCATAAACTTAGTTTGAAAAAAAGTAAAGTTTTTGCTGTTAAGAAGTTTGAAAATCAACTACAACTATTATAGAATATAAAGCTTTTTAAAGGTTATAAATCAACTAGCCAAGGCAACACAGTATCCAATAACATAGTATAACAGGATTCAGCAAGAATCTAATGTATAATGTTCTTTATTTTTCTTCTTCACATATCAGGTGAAAGAGTTTCTTTAGTTTGCTTTTCCCAGGCATCATTGAGAAAGGAATATTTAAGTACACCAATGAATTAGGATTGATCCATGTGATGGTTTATTATTTTTTTATTGATTTAAACTTCCTCTGTAGCACACTGAATTTTATCTAAAAAGAGAAAGCTGTCCTGCACCAAGACTCGTATTAAAAAATCAGCCGCATGTTTTGTGCAGAGGAAAACTCAGGACAAGTTTTCCTCTGCACAATGTTTTCCTTCTTCCTCAACTTAGGTTTTCCTTTTAATTGTGGTAAAATATACATAACATAAGATTTAACATTTGACCATTTTTAAACATACAGTTCAGTGGCATTTAGTACATGTATTTAATTGTTAACCATCACTATCAAACATTTCCAGAACCACTTCTCAACTTGGTGTTTTGTCCTTAGCATTTTCACCCTCTGCCCCCCTATTCTGAGGTTCCATCATCAGTGCTCTGAACAGGCCCAGAGAGGGGGAAGAGGGTGGTCGAACAAGTCAAAATATTCAAGGGAAGAACTGATTAGAAAAGGGTGAGAAGGAGTTATATGAATAAACGGAGCTTGAAGACAAATGGCAGAGGTGCAGAACAATGAAGAAGCAGAAAGATTAACTGAGAGAATGCAGCCTGCCAACCATTATTTTTGCAAGAAATGCCCTTCCCCAGTTTTTAGCCTTCAAAGGCTAGAGGAGTCAACTCCTCCAAAGTCTTCCCACCTAGTGTTAGTGGTTCTCTTTGCTGAGTTGAGAGTTGATTTAAACATGGTTCTATCTGTAAAGTCTATGGTCTTTCTGTCATAACACTGACTTTCTCTCTATGTAGACAAGGAAGCTGTATAATTTAGGTAGCAAAATCTCCTAAGATTGTATTTTCTCTTTCTACAGTTTGTAGCTGCTCTGAGCTATGTGAGATATGGAATATTAAAAATATATAAAACTAGAGACCCTGTGCATTAAATTTATCCATGCACTACTTTTATTTTAACACAAGAACTTCTGAGTGGAAACATTATGGTCTACTTTATTATCTACTTCTTTTTCTCTGGATTTAAAACTGAAATAAATTAACTTCATTTGAGCTCTAGGCTTCAATTCTGATTCATTCCACCAGGAACATTACTTCTTCCCTCATCTTGCTTCAATTATTCGCCCCCCCTCTTCTTTCACAACTCAGGAAACTGACATACATTTAAAAGAATGAAATAATCTAATTTCTATCAGAGGGTAAAGTGAAACTATAAACTATCTTAGTAACTCCCCTCTTCTCTGCTAGTACTGTGCTCTTTCATTAAAATAATCAATTTATACTATGCTCAAATAAAGATAAGAAGATGTGGCTTAACAAGAATATTTCAAAGTTCATGAATTAAAAATGAGTCTCCTTTTTGGAAATAATAAAGTTCTAATATCATTGAGTCTTTATATAGCAAGCATGCCCTCTACTGGATACATTTACTTTTTCTTTATTATTCCTTTATTTCCCTTGGTAATGAGGGAGGTAAGATAGTGATAAACAAATAACGAAGAAATCAAAATTCATCAGAAAGACAGATTAATAGTATGCTTTTAACTCTAAAGCTCAGGACTCAATTGTATACCATATTTTTGTTCTCTTTTTCTACTTTCTCTACACAGTATATTTCTTTGTCTTGAACTGTATTAGTCTAAATACTGGTAGCTTCTGGGTTGCTAACAAGTGAAAATAAAGTCCTGAAACAGAACTGCTTTAGTCATCACGCCTGTCAGCCATATGAACTAATTTTGATCTCTGGAGATGGAAGCAAATGAAGGAATAAAAATTATAAAGTAATGTATGCTGCTTGTGCAGTGTATCTGACACAGAAATAATTATAAAAATGTGCGTGTACATGTGTTTTGACCATGAACAGCCTAGCAAGCAGATTTAAAAGTATAATAGCTTAGCCCTGGACTGTGTGGCTCAGTGGGCTGTAGCATCATCCTGTGCACAGAATAGATGGGAAGACATACCATATTTCTGGATAAGAAGGCAATACTTTAAGAATGTCAACAATCTGCAATTAAAACGTATGTTTGACATAATCCCAATAAAAACTTATAATAGATATTTTTAAATTTTGTTTTAGAGAATACAGTTGTTTTGTTTTTTAAAATTCTTTATTTGTTTAAAGCTGTGATTGGCAAACTGCGGCTCTTTGGCCTTGAGTGTGGCTCTTCCACAAAATAACACGGGCGAGTCTATTTTGAAGAAGTGGCGTTAGAAGAAAGTTTAAGTTTAAAAAATTTGGCTCTCAAAAAAAATTTCAATCATTGTACTGTTAATATTTGGCTCTGGTGACTAGTGAGTTTTCCGACCACTGGTTTAAAGTATTACATATGTCTCCTTTTCTTCCGATAGAGGCCAAGCGCAGGAATTTGTGCATGGGTGGGGTTCCTCAGCCTGGCTGGCAATTGAAGCCAATTGGGGCCATCTCGCCCAGTCCTGATCAGGGCCGGAGGCCAACCTCTCATGGCCCCTCCCCCTGCTGGCCAGCCTGATTGGGACCACTGGGGCTGGCCAGCTGGTAGGAGTGACCATGGGAAGTTGGTCAGCCAGGAGGAGGGACCATGGGAGGCTGGCTGTGGGAATGCACTGACCACCAGGGGGCAGCTCCTGCAATGAACATCTGTCCCCTGGTGGTCAGTGTGTGTCACAGTGACTGGTCGAGCGGTCATTTGGTCATAATGGTCACTTTGGTCATATATATAGACTAGAGGCCTGGTGCACAAAAATTCGTGTACTCAGGGTGAGGGGGGGGGTGTCCCTCAGCCCAGCCTGCATACTCTCACAATCCGGGACCCCTCAGGTAGGGTTCCTAGGCCTGGTCTGAGATCAGGGCCTATTGGGGCAATCCTTCCCCAGGCTGCAGGCAGCTGGCCCCACCCCTGCCACTGCTTGCCATCTGTGCAGTGCTGCCTCGCCTCCCCTGCCACGGGTGGTCTCCCTCTACAGGCAACAGGCTGGGGTACAATGGCTTAGCTGGCCCGAGCCTCCCTCTTTCTTTGCCGGGTAGCGGGGCTAGTCCTGCGAGGGGCCGTCTGCCTACCTGATTGCCCCTAACTACTTGCCTACTTACCTAATTACCCCTAACCACTTGTCTGTCTACCTGATCACCCCTAACCACTCTGCCTGCCTGATTGCCCCTATCCACTTGCTTGGGGGCGGGGCCAGCCTGGCAAGGGGCCATCTGCCTATCTGATCACCCCTAACTGCTGGCCTGCCTACCTGATCTCTCCTAACCACTTGCCTGCCTATCTGATCACCTCTAACTGCTGGTCTATTCATCCCTAACCCCTCTGCCTGCCTACCTGATTGCCCCTAGGCTTGCTTGGCAAGGGGTAGTCTGCCTACCTGATCACCCCTAACCCCTCTGCCTGCCTGTCTGATTGCCCATTACTGCTTAATTGGGGGCGGGACCAGCACTGACTTCCGGTTGGTCAGCCTCTGGTTGTTACTGGTTGTTATAACCCAGGGTTTTTATATTAGGAATTTTTTTTAATGAAAAAAATAATCAGTCATTATTAAGGATAAATGCAAAGGAATTGACAAGTTTTTAGAAGATATAGAATTAGCTTCAAATTGCTATAATGATGTGCAGAAAACTACCACCTAACTTACTATTCATCAACCTCATTTCAACCTGCTTTGTTGCTATCTATTCCTTGCTACATCAGAGTAACTCTCTTGAAGGGTTTAAGACTCTACTAGTATTACAATTCAGGTAAGTACAAAGAAAAATAGGACTGTACTGATGATGAAATATAAAGATGAATTTTGGAAACTATTTTAGTAACTGTTAATAAAAGCTTTATCGTTTTAGGTTTGAATTTGTAAGCTCATTAAAGATTTAATTTTAGTTTAAAACACTACCTGGGTTTAGAATCTTGACTCAATCACTTACTCTGTATCCTTGGGCTCATTATTTAATACCTCCAAGTCTCAGTTATTTCATTGTAAGATGTTGATAAAAACACTATCTACTTGAAAGAATTATTGTTAGGATTTAATAAGCTAATATATGGAAGATACTAAGAACAATGTCTGGCCCAGCTGGTGTGTCTCAGTGGTTGAGTGTTGACCTATGAACCACAAGGTCACAGTTTGATTCTGGTCAAGGCACATGCCCTGTGTGTGGCATGCAGAAGATAGCCAATCAATGATTCTCTTCCAGCACTGATGTTTCTGTCTCTCTCTCCCTTTCTCTCTGAAATCAATAAAAATTTATTTTAAAAAAGAACAATGCCTGGCATTAGTAAGAGCTCAGTAAACATCAGCAATTATTATAAACAGAATGTTATTTGTTTTTTATTTTTAAATATATTTTATTGATTTTTTACAGAGAGAAAGAGAGCTAGAAACGTTGATGAGAGAGAAACATGGACCAGCTGCCTCTTGCACATCCCCCACCGGGGATGTGTCTGCAACTAATGTACATGCCCTTGACGGGAATCGAACCCGGGACCTTTCAGTCTGCAGACCGACGCTCTACCGCTGAGCCAAACCGGTTTCAGCATGAACAGAATTTTAAAAGAAAATAATATGCTATGAGTTTGTTTTTTTTAATTTTTATAAATCTTTATTGTTCAGATTATTACAAATGTGATCCTCTTCCCCCCCTCAATTGCTCCCCTTCACCAGGTTCCCACCCCACCCTCTGTCCTTTCCCCAACACCCATTGTCCTCATCCATAGGTGCACAGTTTTTGTTCAGTCTCTTCCCGCACCCCCACTCCCCTTTTCCCTGAGAATCGTCAGTCCACTCCCCTTCCATACCTCTGATTCTATTATATTCACCAGTTAATATTATTCATCAGATTTTTAAATTCCCTTGGTTTTTAGATTCACTTGTTGATAGCTACGTATTTGTTGATCATAATTTTTATCTTTATCTTCTTCCTCTTCCTAAGTAACCTCCTTCAGCAATTCATATAATTCTGGTTTGGTGGTGATGAACTCTTTTAGCTTTTTTTTATTTGTGAAGCTCTTTATCTGTCCTTTGATTCTGAGTGATAGCTTTGCTGGGTAGATTATTTTTGGCTATTGGTTCTTGTTATTCATCACCTTGAATATTTCTTGCCATTCCCGTCTGGCCTGCATGGTTTCTGTTGAGAAATCAGCTGACAATCTTATGGGTGCTCCTTTATAGGTCACTACCTGCTTTTCTCTTGCTGCTTTTAATATTCTCTCTTTGTCTTTTACTCTTGGAATTTTAATTATGATATGTCTTGGTATGGTCCTCCTTGGATTCCTTTTGTTTGGGGTTCTGCGGGCTTCCTGGACTTGTAAGTCTATTTCTTTCCCCAGGTGGGGGAAGTTTTCTGTCACTATTTCTTCTAGTACTCTTTTGGTATCTTGCTCTCTTTCTTCTGGAATCCCCATAATTCTGATGTTGGTTCGCTTGAAATTTTCCCAGAGGTTTCTTACACTATCTTCAACTTTTTGGATTCTCTTATCTTCTCCCTTCTGCAGAGGAGTGTCCTCTGGCTCTTTGTGTTCTAAATCTTTGTCTTGATTCTTGCGATCTTCCAGTCTGTTTTTAGGACTTTGTATAATATTTTTTATTTCAGACAATGTTTTCTTCATTTCTTGTTGATCCCTTATTATTTCTAGTTGCTCCTTTTTCATATCCTCATAGGTCTCATTTATTTTATCGGCCTTTTTTAGGATATTGTTGAATAACCTTATAACTGTAGTTTTGAATGCTATGAGTTTTTAATATGAAGATTTTCAACAGTCCCCACATATAATTCTTTCTTTCTTTTTTTTAAATAAATTTTATTGATTTTACACAGAAAGGAATTGAGAGGGATAGAGAGTTAGAAACGTCGATGAGAGAGAAACATCAACCAGCTGCCCCCTACACACCCCCCACTGGGGATGTGCCAGCAACCAATGTATATGCCCTTGACCGGAATCGAACCTGGGACCCTTCAGTCCCCAGGCCGACGCTCTTCCACTGAGCCAAACTTCCACTGAGCCAAACCGGCTTCGGTGCCACATATATTTCTTAGAACATCAAAATATAACTATGTTTTTTAACAATACTGCACTTCACTAAATCTGACCTCTTTGAGAACACATATGTTCTTTAAAACTAGAGGGCTGGTGCACAAAATTTGACCAGTGGTTGGGGGGTAGGGGTGTGTGGAAGGGTGTGCCCCTCAGCCTGGCATCTGTGCCCTCTCGCAATCTGGAATCCCTCTGGGATCAGGGCCTATTGGGAATTTCCTTCTCCTGATTGCCAGCAGCTGGCCTTGCCCTGGCCCCTGCCCCCACCACTGCTTTCCATCTGTATGGTGCTGCCCCCAATCCCTGCCACCAATTGCCTCCCTCTTCGGGCACAGGTGTTGGGTACAATCACTTAGCTGGCTTGGGCCTCCCTCTGTGGGGCAATCGCTGGCCAGCTCTATACATCTGCCAGAAGGTCGTCAGATTCTACTTCAGTCTTTTGGTCAATTTGCATATTACCCTTTTATTATTATAGATAAGTGATATATAAATTTGTTAGCTTTCAGGGATACAGTAAAGTGAAACAGATTAAGCTAGTGACTAAATATTTCATGGATAATATATGCATACTAAAGTCCCAGTACATGAAATCCGTGCCCTGGTAGGGTCCCTAGTGGCTGCCACTCAATACCCCCCTCCCCCAGCCGCTTGCTGCCTCGGGACCCCCCTCCCTTCCCCCTCGCCAGCCCCACCTCCTCCTGGTCAAATTCCCGGAGGACCTCCTGGTTGAGGGGGAAATTTGCATACTATGCTTTTATTATATAGGATGAACGTTGACATAATTTCCTGTATTATTGTAGTGATTTAACAGATCTAGTCAAATATATAATGGAAGTTTCAGTATTTTCATTTAAGGTTCCCTTAAAATATGGGTTGCTGGGAAAAAAGCTACACATTGTACACACTGTACCTTACAGGCCATAGTTCATCATGTATTTCTACTTTTACAAACATGTCTAAATCTTCTTTTATATAATTAAGTTTAAATATTGGGCTGTCTTTGGGTTTCCAGTACACTGGGTTTCAAATCAATACAAATACATTTCCTTGATGACTAAAAATTTTTTTACTTACCAAATTTTCTCTTTCAATCCTTTGTTGTTCTTTCTGTCTGTTGACAGCACTGTGATATAACTTAGGGGGATGATTAAATCTTCTAGGCATCATATTTTTGTTTCCTGGTTTTTCAGCCTGTCTTGACAGTTCTTTCAAAAGCCTCTGATTTTCCCGATCAATCTGTCTCACCTCCTCTCTTGTGAAAGAGTAGTTCCTCCTAGGTGCTGCTGAAGGCTGATCTAAGTGATGTTTCTCTGGTCGCTTTTTATCCAATTCCAGAAAAGCTACAGAAATGGACAACAGAAGGAAAAGTGGCGAGAGAAAGTAGCATGAAATATGATGGTATTTGCTTTAATTTTAAAAAATTAAAACTACATTTATTCATGAAAATACATAGAAGAAATAATGTTATTGACATCACACTACAATTGTGTAGAAAATAAAAATCCAGAGGCAGCTTAGCATTTTATGCTGAGTTCTTTGGGAATAAAAGCTATATACCAAACAATAAGAAATGTACATGGTGCTGGTTTTAAGGTAGGTGTAATTTATGGAAAATGCCCGTCAGGTTCATCTTGTTTCCCCAAGGAAGCTTAATAGTTAGGAAGGTTGGAAACCTCTGGTTGAGTGTACCAATATAATACTTAGAGAGTTTTTGTTACTTGGAAGGCATACTTCAAAAATAAAATGTCTTCAGCAATGACTGGTGAAAACAATGGGTAGAAAATGGCAAAGACAAATGCAGAATATTCTGAAATTTTCCAGTTAATCTGAAAATATTTTACTACAGTATTTTGTATTGGCATTAAAACAAATACTTCTGTAGAAGTCAAACATTTCATTCCCGATTAAACATAAGCCATCATGTATATATTGTATAGAAAGTTTGTAACCAAGAAAAATATTTTGCAAACTAATTATCACATAAAAGTTTCTAAAACTATTCAGCTTGTTAAATGTTTCAGTTTAAGTCAGTACTAAAAATGAATACATTATATCAGATTAGTAATATACTGGCACATTTATTATGTTTTTTACTGTGTGTGTGTGTGTGTGTGTGTGTGTGTGTATATATATATATATATATATATATATACACACATATATATATATATATATATATATATATATATATATATGTATTTATTGATTATGGTATCACATAATTGCCCTCATCCCCCAATCCCATCCCAAACCCCTCCCTACATATGCCCTCACTTCCCTTGCCCCTCCCCGTTGTCCATGGCCACTGGTTAGGCTTATATGCACGAACATGAGTCCTTTGGTTGATCTCTTCCCCTTTACCCCCACCCTCCCCTACTTTCCCTCTGAGGTTTGAAAGTCTGTTCAGTGCTTCTCTTTCTCTGAGTCTGTTTTTGTTCATCAGTCTATGTTGTTCATCATTTCCCCTAGATGTGTGAGATCATGTGATCTAAGAAATATCCTTCTAAGAACCTAAACTGGGAAAAGCCTAAGCGTTACTTGTTTTTATTTGAGTACCTATGTTAGATCTTTTACTGTCTTAGCATTTACTATAAGAGGAAGAGGCATTTTTAACCCTCATCTAAAAATGTGACTGGTACAGAAAATTTAAAACATTTGAGCAAGGTCACAAAAACTATGTCTTCTGCCCTCCCCACATTTAACCATAGATAATCAAAGATTACAGAAACTTAAAATAAATTTTATTAACAGTGATTTCCTGATAGAAAACGAGGAAATTAATTGTTGGTAATTTGTTGAAAACCAACTGACAAAACCTGAATGAGAACACACTCAGAAAGATATAGATGGGCTGAACATAATTATCTTGCTTCTAAGAAATGCCCATTTTGTAGAATTTAATAAGGTTTCTAGATTAATTTAGCCATATATGAAAGCCTTTAAAATTAAATTCTAAACAAAATTAAAAGTAAATCTTTTTCCAAATGGCATTTTAAAAAAATTTTAAAAAGTAAAATAAAGCAATAGCTATAAATAAATTAATTATATAAAGAACACTTAATCTAACATTTTTAAAATTAGCAAACTAACTCTGATGGAAAAGTATATGGATGAAGTACTTATATACTAAATCCAGGTATCACTATTATGTTTTTCTAAAGTGCCTATATGCTTAAGTATGAAGCAACTTTAAATGCAGAGGTAAGTTTATAGTTATAATACAATTAATAAGTAATAATACCAGAATATACTATCATGTACTCACAACTGTAGACCTACTTTTGCCCACCCCTGATATGATCCATTGGTTTTTCCGATTAAGATCTCTTTTTGTAACTTGAATAAACTTTCAGGGATACAAATATTTATATAAATGTATACATATTTAAATTCACATATTTATGAAACATTGTTTTTCTCTAATTTTCTTCAATGAAACAATTTTTTAAAAATCCTCACCCCAGGATATTTTTCCATTGATGTGTTTAGAGAGTGAAAGGGAAAAAGGAGAAGGAGAGGGAGAGAAAGAAACATTGAGAGAAACATCAGTGTGAGAGAAAGACATTGATCGGTTGCCTCCCACACACTCCCAAGTTGGAGCCTGCAATCAAGGTGTGTGCCCTTGACTGGGACTCGAACCCACAACCCTTCTGTCTGCACGTCAATGCCATTGGGAAACATGGCTAGGGCTTCAACAAAAGTTTTGTTCAAACTTGTTTCAGTATTTCAATATGTGTCCATCATTACTAGAGCCTTTTCTTAAATGATCTAATACCATTTACTAGAAGTATCAGCTTTACTTTCACCTAAGCTGAGACACAGAGCATTTTGAAATTATGTATAACGTTACCATTGAAAATTTTATCTCAAGCCATATTAAGATCTTATTCATATAACAGTTCTTAAAACAAAAACAAAAACAAACAAAAAAAAACTATCCTGTAGGCATATTCATGATCCCTATTAAAAAAATATTTGCTTTGCCAAAACCGGTTTGGCTCAGCGGTAGAGCGTCCGTCTGCGGGACTGGAGGGTCCCAGGTTCGATTCCGGTCAGGGGCATGTACATTGGTTGCGGGCACATCCCCGGTAGGGGGTGTGCAAGAGGCAGCTGGTCGATGATTCTCTCTCATCGACGTTTCTAGCTCTCTCTCTCTCTTCCTGTCTGTAAAAAATCAATAAAATATATTAAAAAATTATAATAATAAAAATATTTGCTTTTTAAAGTGATTTTTTATGAAGTTTTTTAAAAAAATCCAAACTTATAAACTGACAAGTCACATTTCAAGAAGTAATAAAATTTACTAAATTTCTTCATCTTCTTTGTAAACAAGTTGTCAGATGATAACTTCGGTGACATTTCCCAGTCCGGTCCTCTGAATCTGGCAGGCTTGTGACTATGCAGACCAATGTGATACAGCCATGTGTGTCCTAGGAGGTGCAGCCCCCACCCCACTTCCTAGAATACTTGTCCTTGGGACCTGAGCCACCCTACATATCTGACTGCCCTGAGCTCAGCTGCCAGGCTGAGGAAATCAAACCACATAGACGGCCATTATGATCCTAGTCTTTGAGTCATCTGTGATTTGTTATCAGAGCAGCAGTAACTAATACAAAATTTGGTACCAGGAACTGGCGTGCTACTCTAACAAGAATCTACATTAGACGGCACTGGCTGAGACCAGGTGACAAGTAGAGTTGGAAGGGCCTAGAAGGGATTGCTGATGAAATGGATAAAATGGTAGAATTTTAGGAATAATGCTAGCTGTTTGACGAGGTACTTATTGCCATTGGTGGACAGGGCTAAACAGATCTCCTCACAGAACGTTGAAAATATCAGTGATTTATTTTATCCACAATAATTAGAGGACTAAAAAACAAACCAGTCAGTTTTCAAGCAAAATTTAGAGAGAATATAACAGAGCCAGAACTTATGAGATTCAAAATAAATTTTTCCTTCCTACTCCTTCCTGGCAGAAGATTCTCAAAGGACTCAGAGGTACAGGAAACTGAGGAACCAAGTCTGAGTAGACTGCGCTGCACTTGGACCTGTTTTAGTCCCTGGATTTTGAGGTTGGGGAATCTTTTGAAAGGAGAAATGTATTTTTGCGTTTGGGAGAAATATGTAAAAATTATATGGACAGAGGATGGACTGAAGCGGTTTTAAAACATGTCCATACGGTATTTGACATTCTTAAGAGGGTCTATGCTCTTCCTCTCAAATTTGGGAAGGTTCTTACTGTTTACATCAATAGAATATGGAAGAAATGGAGCTATGTGACTTCTGAGGCTAGGTCATAAAAGGCGATGAGGTTTCCATCTTGTTTCCCGGAACACTGAACTTGGAGATCTGAGCCACCATGTGAGAAATCCAACTTCCCTGATGCCGCCATCTGTGAGGAAGCCAAGCAACGCAGAGGGCACACGTGGGCCTTCTGCTCAGCAGTCCCGTTCATGTCATCCCAAACCCCACCTGACATGTGAGTGAAGAGCTCTCAGGTGATTCTAGTGCCTGCCTTTAAGTCTAGCATTGGGGTAATTTATTATAATAGGAATAGCCATTGATATGCCATCACTTAAAAAAAAAAGGTATGATAGACAAAATACCTGTGGACCAAGTATAGTCAACAAGCAGGCAGTTTACTTTTTTGGGGGGTGGGAGTGAGGGGTGTCTAATTACTCTATTAATCTTTCATGATTATGTTTTGTCAATTTCATCATTGGGTTGTTTTGTTCTTATCACAGAATGCATATCAATGGCTCTTAAATTTTTTGAGCATGTCAAGCACTGTTTGACCCTTTTAGTGCTAAACTCCACTATATACATGTGACAGAAGAGTATAAAAAGCAATCATGTCATTATTAGTGAAGACAGTTTTGTCCTTGCCGCTCTAAAATCACCAAGCTTCACTTTAATTCTGCTTCAAGCATTATGTTCTTCAACTGTGAGTCTGGTGCTTCTCTTGATTTTAGATTTCTTCAAATGTTTGGTAACACTTGGTAGAGTGTTGAGGATATCTGAGATTTCCTCCTCACCTACTGGAACCCTGTTCACTGCAGCCTGCCAGTAAAGGGACAAAACATGTTGCCAGGGAGGATGTGCTAGTAGCTAATCGCAGTAGAGAACCACCCACATTTTTGCTTTCTTCCCTTTCAGTTATCTGTGGAAAACTGTGGCTCAAAATATTAAATGGAAAATCCAGAAATAAACTATTCGTGAGTTTTATATTGTGTGCCATTCTGAGTAGCACATGACACCTCCTGCTGTCCCTCCTGGGATGTGAACCACCCCTTTGTCCAGCATATCCATGCTGTATCCACCACCCTCCCTTAGTCACTTACTAACTGTCTGGGTTATCAGATCAACTGTGGCAATGGTGCAGTGCTTGTGTTCAAGTAACCCCTATTTTACTTAATAATGACCCTCAAGCCATTCACATTACTTTTTATCAATGTATGTGTTCTATTATTGTTGTTGTTAATCTAATACTATGCCTAATTTATATATTAAACTTTATCAAAGGTATGCACATACAAGGAAATAACATAGTATGTGTAGGGTTCAGTACAATCCCGTTTCAGGCATCTACATGGTGTCTTGGAATGTATTCCCTGAGGGGAGGGGACTACTGTATAGGCGTCGTCTTCCTTATGGAGTACAACAGGGCCCATATCTTCCCCTTAAATAAGCCGTTTGCTTCATTCCCTCCTATGTTGTTATCAGTTTAACAGTAAGTTTAACCAGTTTCTTTGTTCAATGCTTCCTTAATCCCATTTCTTTTTCTTGTAGTAATTTTTCTTCTTAGAATACATCATCTAATAATATACCTAATTATTTCATACAGAATCTATGCAGTAAAATTTGTGGAGCATTTCTAAATTGTCTCTATTTTACCCTACAGATTCTTCCTAAACTGACCCAATTTTACCTATATCAAGTATTTGAAACATACCTTCTAATCTAGTCATGCCAACTTCTTCACTGTTCTTTAAATATGCAAGATTCATGCCATAACCCAATGCCTAAACTTCTGCATATTCTACTACTCTATCTTTTAATGCTCTTTCTGCCTACAAGGGATTTACAGCTCAAGGTCAAAAAACTAATTCCAACCACACCCTTTTTTGCTATGTACTAGCAAAGGCAGGCTTGGGGCAGGGGTGGGAAGTCTTCCAAATCACCCACCGAACTGACTGAAAAGAGGCTAAATACTCAGAAATTCTAATAAAAAATTTCAAGGTTTACTTTAATGTTAGATATCTAATAATGCTAATCTACATTGAACTTCCCTTTTAATATATACACTATATATATTTGCTTGTGTTTGATTTTTTTGTCAATCCTCACCCAAGGATATTTTCCCATTGATTTTTATAAAGTGCAAGGGGGGAGGGGGAGACAGAGAAACATCAATGGTTGCCACCGACACCTGCCCCAACCAGGGCCAGGGATTGAGCCTGCAACCAAGGTATAGCCCTTAACTGGAATCAAAGCCTCAATCCTTTAGTCGCAGGCCAACGCTAGGGCCGACACTATCCACTGAGCCAAATTATCTAGGGCTGTGGCGGGCAAACTGTGGCTGTGAGCCACATGCAGCTCTTTGGCCCCTTGAGTGTGGCTCTTCCACAAAATACCACGGCCTGGGCGAGTCTATTTTGAAGAAATAGCGTTAGAACAAATTTAAGTTTAAAAAAATTGTTTCTCAAAAGAAATTTCAATCGTTGTACTGTTGATATTTGACTGTTGATTAATGAGTTTGCTGACCACTGATATAGGATTTCCCTTCTAATATTTTTCACAGAACCCAAAAATCTCAATTTAGAATAGGCTTTAGCAACTTATATCAACACCTCACCTTACAAATGAAAAGAATGGGGCACAGAATAGTTACTGCTGGTCTAGAGCAGTGGTCAGCAACCTCATTAGTCAACAGAGCCAAATATCAACCAGACAGCAATTGAAATTTCTTTTGAGAGCCAAATTTTTAAAACTTACACTTCTTCTAACACCACTTCTTCAAAATAGACTTTCCCAGGCCACGGTATTTTGTGGAAGAGCCACACTCAACGGGCCAAAGAGCCACAGTTTGCTGACCACGGGTGTAGAGTCAAGAGAATGACACTCAGAAGCCCAAAATTTTTATTCCACTTCCAGAATTGTCTTCACCTCACTATGTAAGTACCCAAATTCAACACTGTTTCATATTTCATGGCCTATGATTGGGATGCCTGATTTTATATTCTTTTATTAACCTTTGTTTCATATGCTTATTTCATAGTTCAAATTTACAAACTTATTAAACTTGTTAACAAAAGTTATTTTAAACCAATAAATAACATTAACACTGTTAACCACAGGCATCCCTCACTATCTAAACTCTCACCCAATGTTTGCTGTTAACGACTTGCAAAATTTTTCACTCAAAATTCACTACCTGAATCAACACTCTTTTAATGTATCTTTGTACTTAGCCAGTGAAAATGTTTAAATTGAGATGTAGAGTATGCCCTGTTTCTACCTCAGCTGTTCCGACAGGATCCCATTACATGCTCACAATTATTAAAGTGTTAAGCATTATAACTATCAACTTCCTTATGTTAAGACTCAGTGTTTCCCAAACTAGTTAAGTATACAATTTTACCTATATGTTCCCAAAAATTCTAGGTTAGCACTTCTTAGTTGGGATTCAGGAATCTGTAGTTTAACAACTCCACCAGGTGATTCTCATCATGAGAGAAGTTTGGGAAACATTGTAAGTGAATTTATCTTCCAAGGAGGTGGAAAAGGCTGTGAAGAAATCAGGTAAGAACAAATAGGCCTAGAAAAAGCCATATAGTAGTAGTTGAAAGTGATAAAGTGTACTAAGAAATCAATGTAGAAAAGGCATAGCCATGTACACATCTCCATCTTACATGCTTGTAGTTTAGTTATATGTGGCAAAATAAAAACTTTTGCGGAATATTTAATAAAGTTATGATAATATCAGTTATCACAAAGAAATCTACTAGAAAAATCAATGCAAATTCATAGCATTTAATACTTAAGCTCAATATACCTTTAAGTTTAATGATTAAATTCATTATGTAGTTTTGAAAAAGAAAAATTACCTTTCAAGAGATGATTCAGGTCCATTGTGTCATGTATGGCTTTTTGTTTATGTCTGCGGTCTAAATTGGAATCTAACACTGAAGACTTCGAGGTGAGATCTACTCCATGTTTGTCTTTCCCTTTTTTGCCTGATTTCAAATTGTTTTTTAAATCCTCAACATTTTTATACACTTCTTGACTCACATTTTCTTGCCTTTTAACTTTTACTTTTTTATTGCTTGATGTTCTCAGTTCAAAAGACTGAACCGGGCTGATGTCTGGGGTCGACAAAGGAGTGACATCTGTCACAGTATCTTCAGATTCCTCAGTGAAGTCACCGACTTTGGATTTAGTACTTGTAGGCTGTGTTCCTGCTGATTTTATTCCTGGTTTATATTTCTGTTTTGGTGACAAGTGGGTTACACCAGAGAGATGTTTCTTTAATGATGGAGATGAATCAGGTGTACAATTATCAGACTCTGCAGCTGAACAATCTGCACCTGAACTTGAAGATGAGGAGGACAAAGAGGAAGAGGAAGTACTTCTGGAATACTTTTTACTTAAGCCTTTTTTGATGTTAGTAGATGGTTTAGCTGACTTGGACCTGACATAATGTTTCTTCCCATCATCACTGCTTTCCTCTTCATCTGTATAATAATCATTTTCACCTTCTTTTACCATTTTGGGAATTCTATTTGGAATGGTCAAGTGTATTTTATGTCCTGTTGTAGCATCACACAATTTTTCTGATCTTGAAGAAGTGGTCAATGATAAAGAATTTCTGGTTTGTGTATTATCATTTTCTACGGGGTGTTCTTCTGAAGGAATTTTCTCTTTCCTTTCATTTCCTTTCTCAGCAAGATCATTTTCTTTTCTCTGCATTCCAAATTTCGAGTTTACATTTACTGTATCTTTGTCTATTCCCTCTTTAGGGCAATCATTTTGCTTGTCAAAAACTGAATTACTTTCACTTTTCTTTGATTCTTCAAAGTCACTGTCAAAGAAAGAATGGTCCACTTCATCTTCTGATAGATCTCTGAAATGATCCATAATGGCAAATATATATCTGAAAAGAAGAAAAATGTAACCATCAGACTATAGAGTAATTTTGAAATATTTTTTATTTTTATATAGTAATGTATAGTTTTTCCAAACTGAGAAGTTTGGGTGACATATCAAGAGAAACATGACTCCCCAAAAAACCAGCAAAAAATAACCCAGCGAGAGCGGCCAGGCCCAGAGCAGCCGGGTTGGGTGTGGCCAGGCCCGGAGCAGCAGCAGCCAAGCCCGGAGCAACCAGGTCGGGAGCGGCAGTGGCCAGACCCGGAGCAGCTGGTTGTGGAACGGACCAGAGCAACAGAGGCCAGGCCTGGAGCAGCCAGGCCCGGAACAGCTCGCTCCTCGCCTGCCCCCGCCCCAAGGCTGCCTCTCAGACATGGCTAGAAACTTTTGCGGGAACTTGAGGGTCTGCTGAATCAAGTGATGAAGGCTTAGATCTGGATATGTGGAGTTAGTATAGCACTGGGGTGTTGATCTGTGAGTGCCTTGTGCGGGGCCTGGATGAGGTTGGTTGACCTATTTGGAAGTGTCTTTTGTGTGAAGTGTATCTTTGGGCATGTGGAGGTATTATTGATATGAGAAAATGCTAAGTAACTGATTTACTATCTGAAAACGGATTTACTATCGGGGAAAGGAAGGAAGGAAGAGACTGAACATAAACTGTGCACCTATGGATGAGGACAATGGGAGAGGGAAAGGGGGCAGAGGGTGGGGTGGGAACCTGGTGGAGGGGGGAAGAAATGAGGAACCTTTGTAATAATATGAACAATAAAGATTGATTTAAAAAAAAAAAAAAAGAAGAGGAAGAAGAAAAAAGATAAAAATTATGATCAACGAATACATATCTATCAACAAGTGAATCTAAAAATCAAGTGAATTAAAAATCTGAGGAACAGAATAAAATGGTGACTATAATAGGATCGGGGCATATAAAGGGAATGGATTGATAATTATCAGGGGAAAAGGGGTGTGGAGGTGCAGGAAGAGACTGAATTAAAATTGCACACCTATGGTTGAGGACAATGGTGGGGGGGAAGGTAAGAGTAGAGGGTGAGGTGGGAACTGGGTGGAAGAGATCTATGGGGGGGAAAAGGAGAAACAATTGTAATAATATGAGCAATAAAGATTTATTTTTTTAAAAAGTTAAAAAAAAAAAAAACCAGCGAAATTATAATGGGGTTTTAGAAACAATTCCAAGTTGTGCCGATGATCTGAAAATAGGTTACTATTATTTTTTTAAGATAATTCACCCTGTATTACAAAAAGCCAAGGGCTGAAATAAAAGAGTGGGGTTGTTTTTTCCTTTATCACTTTGTTTCTTGGTTAAGAACAACTTTGAAATTAAGTATTTTGTAAGTTTCTTCAATTTTAAAAGCAAATGGTTTCATAGCACACTCCATTGAAGCAGTTGGTTCTGAGTGCTGTGGTGAAGAGTCTAAAATGTAAATCATGATTTAGGATATATAGAACAGGCCCACATCTACCCTGTTTCCCTGAAAATAAGACAGTGTCTCATATTAATTTTTTCTCCCAAAGTTGCACTAGGTCTTATTTTCAGGGGATGTCTTATCTTTCCATGCGCTAGGTCTTATTTTCGGGGAAACACGGTAGGAAAAGTAATGACAAAGGAAAGAATGCATTCAGATACTTAGAACTGATATGGGAAAAGATTTTAGAGCTGTTACTTGTAGTTCCAGAGGTAGAACTTGCATTTAGAGATGGAGTGCATAAGAAAGCCATTCTGAGTTTAGCATTTAACATTAAGAATGCTCAAAAATGGACTGGGCTACTTTCTAAGATTAGGAGCAATGAGTGAATAGTGGGATGCTGTAGGGAATTCATGCATTAGAAGTACAATATATGCTATTTCCCAACCCCATGATTATATGAACTAGGTCTAAATCCCAAAGTCAATGATTAAATACTTCTTTGAAATACTTGTTTTTCATAGCTAACATTTCCCTTCCTTTCTGTCTCCTTACCAGACTGGGAATTCCTGATAGCTAGCTCACCTTTATATATCCAGTGCCTAAAGTAGGATCTGACAAGTATGATTCAAAGACTGTTTAACCAATGAAGGAGTTTGGAGTCAGGAAATTTAATATTGTGCAGTGGGCCCTACCTGGTTTGGCTCAGTGGATAGAGCATCCATCTGTGGACTGAAGGGATTGATTCCCATCACGGGCACATGCCCAGGTTGCTGCTGATCTCCAATAGGGGGTAGGAGGTGCAAGAGGCAGCCAATCAATGATTCTCTCTCATCACTGATGTTTCTATCTCTTTCTACCTCTCCCTTCCTCTCTGAAATCAATAAAAATATATTTTAAAAATAATTGTGCAGTGGTACTGCTCTTTGATATGTAAGCAGAAAAGTTACTTCTTTTCCCTGAGCTAGTTTCCCACAATTCTCTTTCCCTCCACTCCTCCCCTCACCATACTACCCCCTTATCTTCATTTACATGGTTTATGTAGTCCCCAATAGTTTTAAACATGTGCCTCCCAAGTGGTCACAGTTCATGACAGGAGGTGCATAGCCCAGTACCTGGGAATCTTCAAGTTTAAATATGGGTTGATAATATCCAACAATACCATTATCTTAAGGATTTAAGCGCTCAGGATTTAGCTTAGTATGGAAAAATTATCCAAAAATCCCACCCACTAAGCAATCCTTTAGCTAATATTTACCTCAAAATGAGATTACAACTTATATTAGAAAATAATAAGAATATGGTATGGGACAAACCAAGATGGCAGCGTAGAGAAACACCTAAACTGCTGCCTCACACAACAATTTCAAAACAATTAAAAGACAAAACGTCTATCACCCAGAACCACAGGAAGTTGGCTGAGTGGAAGTTCTACAACTAGAAGGAAAGAGAAAAGAGCACTGAGGTGTGCACAAGCGCTGAAAAACTGAGGTACAGAGGCGTGTGAAGTGGGCTGGGTGGTGGGTGATTGGATGTGCTGTTTTTTTGCAACCCGAGGAGACAAGCTCCCGATTACTCTGAAATCCAGTTTCTGGGGAGAGGCAGGGGACCTAAACTCCTATGGTGGGAAGCTGGTCTGTCTGCCATCGGGTCAGAAAGTGAGGGTGACTTTTTTGCAGAGGTGTGCCAAGCAATCATTGTTTACTGCGCTGGAGCATGGGACATGGGGACTTGGAAACACAGAAAGTCAGAGAATGCTGAATGGCAGCCATTGCTGTTTGCCAAACCCTAGCTTAGTGACTCCCTGAGACCACGCCTTGCACAATCTACAAACACACCCAAGCTCCAGGCTGCAGTTTAACCAAATAAACTACAGCTCCAGCCAGACAACTCCAAAACCTCCAAACCGCAAGCAAAGAGGAAAAAACTGTAGTTCTTGCTGTAGCTCCTGCTGGGTGGCCTCAGAAAGTAGCTGACCTGCACCCCACTGGAGATCCAGAAGCTAGTGTATCTAATGGTCTTTGTGAGATGACACCAGATTTCAACTCACACCCATAAATGACACATTTAAGAGGCAGACTCAGTGAGCACCAAAGCTCCACTGAAACAAATCCTGCCCCATAAGTATGTCTCCAGCACAGCAATTCTTCCGCTACAGACACAGACAATTGGCCTGGAGGTCAATTCTTTCCAGTGACACCAACAACAATCAAGACTTAACTACAACAAGGCTGTACACACAGTCCACAAATGGGTGCACCAAAAGTGTCCACCTCAGGTAACTGGGAGGCTGACCCATTGGACCATATACGATACCTAGCACACAAAGCCACCCTACTAACTCAGGGTAGCAGTGAAAATGAGGAGACAAGGAGTGAAAATGAGGATCACAAATGAAAAAAATGGAGGAAAACAAACGACTGGATATAGAGTTCAAAACCACGATTATAAGGTTTTTCAAGAATTTCCTAGTAAAGGCTGATAAATTTAGCGAGACCCTTGAGGATATGAAAAAGGACCAACTAGAAATTAAACATACAGTGACTGAAATAAAAATATTATATAGAGAGAGACTCAACAGCAGATTAGAGGAATGCAAAAATCAAGTCAAAGATTTGAAATACAAAGAAGCAAAAAAACAAAAAACAAAAAACAAACAAACAAACCACCCAACCTGAAAAGAAAAAAGAATCCAAAAAGTTGAAGATAGTGTAAGAAGCCTCTGGGAAACTTCAAGCATACCAACATCTGAATTATGGGGGTGCCAGAAGAATAGAGAGAGCAAGATACTGAAAACCTATGTGAAGAAATGACAGAAAATTTCCCGTACCGGGTGAAAGAAATAGACTTACAAGTCCTAGAAGCATACAGAACTCCAAACAAAAGGAATCCAAAGAGGGCCGCACCAAGACACATCATAACTAAAATGCCAAGGGCAAAAGACAAAGAGATAATCTTACAAGCAGCAAAAGAAAAACAGTTAATTACCTACAAGGGAGCACCCATAGATTGTCAGCTGATTTCTCAACAGAAACTATGCAGGCCAGAGTGGAATAGCAAGAACCTACAACCACGATTACTCTACCCAGCAAAGCTATCATTCAAAACTGAAGGTCAGATAAAGAGCTTCACAAATAAGAAAAAGCTAAAGGAGTTCATCACCGCCTAACCAGGATTATATGAAATGCTGAAACATGTTCTTTAAGAAGAGAAGAAAAACGTAAAGATAAAAATTATGAACAACAAATACATATCAACAAGTGAATCTAAAAGTCAAGTGAATTAAGAATCTGAGGAACAGAATAAACTGGTGAATAGAATCGGGGGCAAAGAAAGGGAGTGGACTGTAAGTCTCAGGGGGAGAGGGGTGTGGGGAGTACGGGAAGAGCATGGACAAAAATCATACACCTATGGATGAGAACGGTGGAGGTGGGGGTAGGTAAGGGCAGAGGGTGGGGTGGGAACCGGGTGGAGGGGAGCTATGGGGGGGGGGGGTCGGGCGGGGGAGAAACAATTGTAATAATCTGAACAATATTTATTAAATTAAAAAAAAATATGGTATGGACTTAAAATTAGCAACGATTCTCTTTACAACATTTTGGGAAAGGGTACAAACTAAACGACAGTTCGTCGGCCCTCAAACCCTGCGTGGGACTCCATGAAAACGGGCTGCCTGCGCACTCACCGTCAGTATAGCTCCTACAGTCTGCGGTGAAATACCGGCATTTTCCAAACTGTCATTCCGTTACCGGGACACTGGGTTTCTGCGGTCAGGTATGTAAGACGGCCCAAAGGTAACCGACCGACCGATCGGGGACCGGAAAACCGAGGCCCCAAGAAAACAAGCCCACCTCCGTGTTCAGGAACCGCGGCTCCCAGCGTTCCGCCCCGCGAGGTGCCGGGGGATAACGGACAGCCCCGCGCCCCGGGGTTCGGGTTCGAGCCCGCGGACGCGGAGGGCGCTGGTGACCCGAGCCCAGCTCCGGGGCTGAGGACCCCGGGCTCCCAGGCCACCGCGAACGTGGCGTGCGGACAGGCGGCCCCACAGACGCCGAGGTTATACCCGCCCGGATGCCTCCTTCCCTCCCGCGCGCTTCCTCACACCGGCCCCCGGTGCTCGCCGCTGCCCGGACTCCGAAAGGGAAACGGACCCGCCACGGAGAGGAGGCTGACGGGCGCGGGCAGGAGAAGGGGCCGCTCGCGCGCCGCTCACCTGGGTGCTGTGGCCGGAGGCCTCCTCCCGCGCGCCGCCCGTGACGTTCCCAGCTCGTGCGCACGCGCAGGCGCGCTAAGCAGCCCCTCCGCGTAGCTGCCAGCGGCGCGCCCGGCTTCCGGGGGCGGGGCCGGCGGGGGCGGGGCCGGCGGGGCGGGGCCGGCGGGGGCGGGGCCGGCGGGGGCGGGGCCGGCGGGGCGGGGCGGAGCCGCCGGTGGAGCGGGAGGGGGCGGGGCCGAGCGGCGGGCCTAGACAGGCTCCGCGGCCCCGCCCGCCCACCGCCCGCCGCCCTCCAATGGGAAGGAACACGTGGCGGAAGTCATCCTTCTCCTGAGGGCCGTCCTGATGGACCGCTACTGCCCCCGCGGTGAACGGCAATGCTGGTGAGCCTCGTTGTGGTGGTGACTAATTTAATAGGAAATGCTGCTTTCCTTTTTTTTTTTTTTTTTTTTAATTCCCAATCAAAGCAGCGACAGTAACAGCAGCTGTGTCTTTGGGATTGTTTATATCAGCAAATGGCAGGCCCACCACGAATTCTCTGGTGCAGGGCCTGGTAACGCATTAGAAGCCCCTCTTCCTGGCAAACAAGGAGGGCAGTTCAGTCTGAGAGGAAAATGGTCCCTGTAGAATACATTGGATGCCATTATCTTCCCATTTTGAATTCACAGGCACATAGTCGGTGTGGGAAAATAATGGCCCCAGAGATGTCCACCTCCTAATCCCCAGAAATTTGTGATTATGATACTTTACTTGGCGAAAAGGGCTTTGCTAGGTGATTGAGTGGGTTGAGATGGGAAAATGATTATCCAAGTGGCCAAAATGTAACCACTAGGGTCCTTATAAGAAAGTTATCAGCCCTGACTGGTTTGGCTCAGTGGATAGACTAGCATTGACCTGCGGACTGAACGGTTCCGGGTTCCATTCCCCTCAAGGAAATGTACCTTGGTTGCGGGACATCCCCATGAGGGGGTGTGCAGGAGGCAGCTGGTCGATGTTTCTCTCTCATCCATGTTTCTAACTCTATCCCTTTCCCTCTCTGTAAAAAAATCAATAAAATACAATTTTAAAAAAAGCAATTAGCTGAAACCGGTTTGGCTCAGTGGATAGAGTGTCGGCCTGCGGACTGACAGGTCCCAGGTTTGATTCCTGTCAAGGGCATGTACCTTGGTTGCGGGCACATCCCCAGTAGGGGGCGTGCAAGAGGCAGCTGATGGATGATTCTCATCGATGTTTCTCTCTATCCTCTGTAGTAACATGGTATAAAAATATGTTGTATATTTGAAAGTTGCTAATGGAGTAGATCTTAAAAGTTCTCATCACAAGGAGGGAAATTTCTAATTACATGAGGTGGTGGATTTTAACTAGATTTTTATTATGGTGACCATTTTGTAATAGACACATGTATCATTATGTTGTTCATCCTAAGCTTAAATAATGTTATATGTCAATTACATCTCAAAACTGGAACAGATTAAAACACTTTTTTTTTTTTTATTAAAGAAAAGAAGCAGCAAGAGATTGGAGAAGTTAGGGCCCGTGAACCAGGTGCCTAAGGAAACTGACAAAGGGGAAGAAGAGATTCTCTCCTGAAGCTTCTGAAAGGAAGACCAGGCAAGACCTTAATTTTAGACTTTTGACCTCCAGAACAGTAAGAGAATAAATTTGTTCTTTTAAACCATTAGGTTTGTAGTAGTTTGTTATAGCAGGAATAGGAAACTAAAACAGCAGGTACTCAATAAATATTTTTTTACATGAAAGTGCAAAAAAAGGAACTAAAGGGTTAGTCATATCCTAGGGACTCTCACTAAGGGATTGGCTCTAGTTTCATTCTTCACAATGCATTTTGTACTTGGCTGTAACTGCCGACAAATACAGAGAATCATTTCTTTGTCCTTTTTCTAGACTAAGAGGAAGGATTTCACTTACTTCTGCTTGTGCTATCACTGTTTCCCAGGGATAGTTGTCTTAACTGTGGTCAAAGTTTATTATACAAAGGAGTTGAATAGACATTTCTCTAAAGAAGATATACAAATGGCCAATAAGTATAAGAAAATATGCTCAACATCACTAATCATTAGGGAAATGCAAATTAAAACCATTAAGATACCACTTCACATTAGTATGGCTAATCCTATATAATAAAAGGCTAATATGCAAATAGACCCAATGGTGTAAAAACTGAATTGGTCACTATGACCACCAGGGGGCGTGTGTGGAACATGGCAGGTGTAGGCTGTGGTGGGATGGTAAAGGTGAGGGGGGTGCCAGACCAAGGCAGGGCGCTGCTTACTGTCATAGGGTCAAGCCTCTAGTGGTTACAGAAAATTCTTTGCTTCCATACACTGCAGTCCTGCCTGGTGCTGGCCCCACTCACACCCACTGCCACTGCCTGCCCCGCTTGCTCCCACAGTGGCTGGCCCCAATTCCCCCTGAAGACTTCTCCACCTCCCCCTGCTCCTGAAGGGCCATCAGGGCAGCAGCCGCTGCTCACACCCAATGATGGCGCCTCACTCGCACCTGCTGCTGGTGTTGCCCCAATGGCTCCACACCGTTGGTGTGAGTGGGGCTGGCACTGTCAGCGCATGGAGTGGCATCAGCAGCTGGAGTGGGGCTGCTGGCAGATGGGACCAGGGACCATGGTGAGAAGAGCCAGGCAGGGGCACGGAGGATGGGCCAAGACCTGCTCCTATGCCATTTGCAGCCTTGCAGCCCCTGGTCCTTTCAAGGTGCATGAATTCATGCACTGGGCCCCAGTATGAAAATAAAAAATTAACAAGGGTTGGCAAAGATGTAAAAAGATTAGAACTCGTATTCATTGTTGATGGGAATGTAAAATGGTATGGATGCTGTCTACAACAGGCAACCGCTTAAAATATTGAACATAGAATTACCGCATCACCCAGCAATTTCACTTCTGGATTGTAAACCCTAAAGCATTGAAAGCAGGGTCTTACACAGATATTTTACAACCATGTTCATAGCAGCGTTATTTTCAATAGCCAAAAAGATGGGGGAAAAAACAAATGTCCATCAACAAAGGAATGGGAAACAAGACGTGGCATATACAAACGATGGAATTTTATTCGGCCTTGAAAAGAAAGGAGTTATATACGCTCCAAGATGGATGAACCTTGAAGTCATTATGTGAAAGAAGGTATACACAAAGGGGCAAATTTTATGATTCCACTTACATGCGATACCCCAAATAGACAAGTCATAGGGAGTAGGGAATTCGTGTTTAATGGGCATTGTTCCTGTATGGGATGATAAAGATGTTCTGGAGATGACTAGTGGTGATGGTTGTGCAACAGTGTGAATATACTTAATGCCACTGAACTGTATGCTTAAAAATGATTAAAATAGTAAATTCTGTGTATATTATACCCTGATGAAAATGAAAAGTAAGAGATTATTACATCTCAAACTATAATTCTGGCTCTTTTTCTGGGCTATAAATTTGTCAAGTTTTGCCTTTTCTTTTCTTTTTCTTTTTTTTAAAATATATTTTATTGATTTTCTACAGAGAGGAAGGGAGAGAGATAGAGAGCTAGAAACATAGATGAGAGAGAAACATCGACCAGCTGCCTCTTGCACACCCCCTGCCGGGGATGTGCCCGCAACCAAGGTACATGCCCTTGTCCAGAATCTAACCCGGGACCTTTCAGTCCACAGACCAACGCTCTACCACTGAGCCAAACCGGTTTCGGCAAGTTTTGCTTTTTCTCTGGTTTCCTTTCCCTGCAGAGAGCACTTCCTCAGTTGTCTATATAGAATGAACAAACCAATAAATGTGTGAATTAGATTGTGAATAAGCTCTGTCAGAACAGAGATTTTATTTCTTTGTGCTGCTTTTTATAGTTTGGTCATATAAGGTTATCAACTCATAGGTATAAACAGACTCTTCCCCAAATTCACTGAATCTGGACTCTTTCATCAAAAACGATGTGGCTGAGACCGGTTTGGCTCAATGGATAGAGTGTCGGCTTGGGGACTGAAGGGTCCTGGGTTCGATTCCGGTCAAGGGCATGTACCTTGGTTGCGGGCACATCCCCAGTAGGGGGTGTGCAAGAGGCAGCCGATCGATGACTCTCTCTCATCGGTGTTTCTAACTCTCTATCTCTCTCCCTTCCTCTCTGTACAAAATCAATAAAATATATTTAAAAAAAAGAAAAAAAAAAAAGATGTGAATAATATCCCCAAACCCTTTTTATTCTGGTTTCTTACTTATTGATAAACCTCTTGAAACAATATAGCCTTGGCTATTTCTATAGAGAGCTATTAATATTACCTGGAAGTGTTTTCACTTATACTAAGCTTTCTTTGTGTTATGAGTAAATGAATACTAAAGCAAAGTTGTTGTTTTTTTAAATTTAGGAATCAAGTTTAGAAGGGTGACATCTTTACTGGGTTAAAGCTTATAAACCAAATTTTAAATTAATTGTTAAGTTCCTTTTATTTTTTTATTTACTTATTTATTTATTTTTTTAGTATCTAAAGGGGTAGTTCAAAATATCTAAATGCTATAATAAATAGAGGAAATTGAGAAAGCTAAATGACTTAGATTCATAGACCAGGTAATAATTGAATTTCCTTAACTTCCACCAACCACCAAACAGAATTAGTAGCTTTTCTTCTTGTCTCCAAAGAACTTTGTTATGCCTTTATTTTAGTGTGTATTACATTATTTTATGCTTTTCCTTTCTGTCTTTCTCCCTTCATCCCAAGTAGAATCTGAACTCTTCAAGGACATAGACCATATTTTATACTATTTTCTAACATAGCAGCTGGGTAATATTTTTGGACTGAATGAAAGAATGAACAGTCACATTCTACCTTCCAGTGTGGTGTTTCTCCTTTTTCCTCATCCCGCACGGAAAAAAGACAGGCTCCTGAGGGGAGGATCTGGGGATGAAGAAATTAGAGAAAGAAAGAGACAAGAGGCAGAAATAGATTCATAAAGCTGGGAGCTAGGTGGGTGCCATCTCTCTGATGGAGAGACAGTCACACTCACCACAGACAACACAGCATATTT